TCCGTGACTTCTTAAAAAATTTTAAAAGGGGTCCATTATACCAAAAAGGTTAAGAAACACTGCTCTAATGCATCTGTGAGTTAAATTCACACACAAAACAAAAATAAAAAATCTGCGACATACTTGACACATTTTTTTTATGTCATTTAAAATAATAAGCATACCAAGGCCTCAAACACATTACATGGATAAGCTGTTTATCGACAGAGTTACAATAAAAAATTACGGAAAAAATTGAGCAAGGATTGTGTACATAACTGTAGAAAGGTTGTCCAAACATTCTCATTCGCTATCTAATTTATAACAGGTATTTGCATATTTATAAAATGTTCGTGTACATAACAAAACAGTACGTGAAAATACATAAGTGTATAGTAATTTTTTTTTAAAAATACGAAAGATTATTTAATAATGTTATGTTGAGCACTATTCTTGTATTTAAAATGCTGTTTCAATACTAAATATTCATAGGTAATGAGAAAAATTCATTTATTTTATTATTTTTTTTAAAAAAAAGAGAAAAACTACGTAGTGGTTTGCAAATGGTACAATTTTTAAAAATTTTTATTCGATTTGAATAAAATCCATTAGAAATTATCAGGAAACAAATATTAACGAACAAAATTGTACAGTAAACAAAAAAAAAAAAAAAAACTCACCCTTAATTTTTTTTGTTTAAAGGATCGAGTTTTTACGTACAAAAATTTGAAAAATCAGTCTCAACACGCTATTTAATTAATGCAAACTATTTATTAATTTACGAAATCAGACAAAAATTAGACTTTCTGTGAATACACATATCTTGTTTTTTTTTTTCGACTGATTTCACACAATTATGAAACTCGTTTATTCATTGAAAATTCCACCGGAAATTTTTTTTAAAAATGATTATTATTTTATTTAATAATCATCGAATTTTTTTAATTTCAAGACATGACTATTTGTAGATTATTTTAAACTATGTAATATTAAAAATAAATACCAACTTTAAGCAAAATTTATAAAATGCTTCTTTAGAAATTTAAAGTCAAAAACAAGATTTTTTAAAAAAATTTCATTACTCGGAAACTATTTGGCCGATATCGATCAAATTTTGTCATTTAAAATCACGTAGCTTAAAATACAGTGATATTTTGCATACCTTACAATTCAAAATATTTTCGAACATTTATAAATTAAATAATTTTTAAAAATAAATTCTTGCATGTAATTATCATTGGATAAACAGGTTTTAGAGTTATGTATAAAATTATTTTGATTCAGTTAAATAATTTCGAAGTATCGATAAAAGAGGGCCCAAAGTTTCTAACGATAATCCTGACTAAACTTTCGTAACTTTATTTCCCCAATTGCTGTTATCCACTATATTTTGATTCCCAAGAATCTATGTCTGTCAAAATAAAGAAATATTAACTCAGAGAAAACACGTTTTGCGTTAGATTTCAGTACTTAATAAATATTTAACTACTATATTTAATTAGCATTAGCTCACTATAACATCTATTTTTTCCGTTCTAAATAATTTGAAAAATAGATATTCTAAAAATAACTCACCGAGTTGTGACCTTGTTTTAAAAGTTTGATATTCAAAATATAATGTCTTATTAAACAAATACTATACTTGTTAATATTTTAGTATATAAGCAAATAAATTGCTTAATCAAAAAGGATTGATATTTCAAAAAGAAAATGTTTTTTTCTTGGAAAAATATAATGTTATTTCTTATATTTTGCATGAGTTTCATCATCAAAAGGATTTACGATATATTTAAAATATTGGTTCTTGGAAAAGTTATGATATTACTTTTCATGAAAACTTATGATACTATATTACATGAAAACTTATGATACTATACTCATCCATTAAATTTGGTGTGTCAATAAGTTGCTTCATCAAAAATGATCTTTTATACTTAAACATCTTTATACGTATTTAACATTTAATCTGTAAAGATATTTTAACTTCCGTGAAAGGTAAAATGTTATTCAAAATAATTGCCACTGACTGACAGCGTAAATAAAAATTTAAATAAAGAACGAGAAGTTTCCATATTATGTAAGTGATAAATTGGATTATTTTGGAATTATAAAGTAAACGAAAACGGAAGTTAATTTATTAAATATTAAGAATAAATTTAATATTTGGGTTTTAAAAGGCTTACACAGAATTTTCTACAAATTGTAAACATTTCTACTGCCGTTACTCTGGAATTTCATTAAAGAAAAGAAAAAAAGTATAGACAGAATTTTTGCAATTAAAAATAAAATAGTTTAACATTAAAAGTAATTTTGAAGTAATAATTGTTTTACCACAATGGTTTAAATTTCTTTATTTTTTTCACTTGATAAATGCATTTATTTAACATTAGAAATGTATATTCTTTTTCCAAAAATACTTTTGCTGTCATAAGATTTCCAACCCTTATTATTATCATATTGAATACATACTATAATTATAAGGAGAAAAAAAAATTAATCCCTTGCAACAGAATAGCGTATATCGTCTCTGAATTTTCATCTCATACGTAACATTTTCATGTCTTCACTCATAATTAAAGTCTAAGTTAAAAGAAAGAAAATACTAATATATATGGGTTCAAATGTGCACTATACATAAGTTTCATTTTAGAATTCATTATATATTCATATGGGAATTAAAAAGTAGAACATGCTTTCTGTTTTTTTTTTTTTCTTTTTTTTTGTTCTTCAAATAATGATAAATAAATGCATAGCTACTAATATTTGCACTGCTTGAGAAACGTTTTTTTCAATGTTAATTAAGTAACAATTGAATTGATGAACAGTATGTAGAAATTTTTTAAGTTTCGCCGATTTTTTTCGCTCGATTTTTTAAGTTTTTGATGTACTTAAACATCACGTGTGATTTTGGGATGTAAACTGTATTTGAGAGCAAACATTTTTTTTTTTAAATTTTTAGCATTAGAAAATGTAGTTTTTTTTTTTTTTTTTTATCCTGTATCATAATACAGTTAAGTATTTATAAAAACTAGATTAATATTATTTTAATAGAGACAAATTTTATATCAGATGTGTATGTCACTTATTTTCTTATGAATATTTTAAAATGTTATGTTTTTCAGCATTTGTTAAATAATAATATATTTTTCGGTATACTAAAATGAAAATAAAAATCTTTGGTATAAAAAAATTTACAAGAAAGAAATGTCAGGGAAATAAGCTGTGTATAGGTTTAAAAAAATCAAGTGTTAATATAAGCAGGAAAAAAAAACAGAACCATTCTGAAAATTTAGAAAAGTGTTTTTTTTTTCTACATAATACTTTCTGTCTAAAGTAAATATAGTGAAAAAATTTAAATGTGTAGTTTAATCGAATCACATCATGTGTAGATACAAGAGCATTCAAAAGTTTTGGATAAATATATTTTCGTATGAGCGTACCAAAAGATGTAAACTACTGCTGATTCACAAATTTCAAAATATTCATAAAAATAAATACCTTAACATTTGAAATAAAATTTCCCATTTATTGAAAAACAATAATATGTACTTTTTATAAATGTATTTATTAGTGAAAATGACAAATTTTCTTGTAGTAAAATATAATTTATGCATATTTACTTGCGAAAATAACACATTTTCTTTTACAGCAAAATACATATATTTACTAATGAAAATAGCATATTTTCTTTCAGCAAAATACCAACATATATATAAAAGTGAAAATAAGTTATTTTCTTACTGTAAAATTAATAATTTTTTTGCTCTTTAGCACGTCATGAAATAATGGTGGTTAACATCAATCAAATTTATTAATCAAATCATAAAATTTGCTATCAATTTAAATATTAAAATTAAATCTTCCCGGAAAACCGGAAGAGTTAGCAGCGATGCAAATGACATTTTAATGCTTGATTTTTTAAATAAAATAAGGCCGGAAAGAGAGAAGGTTTAATCAGAAAATTTAAATTTTTTAAGCATTACTTATTTTTTTAATTGATTATGATCAATATATATTTAAATTTGCTTTACCTGTGGTAGACCTCCATTTACCCAAGTTCCATTTTTTAAAATTGACGGATAAAAGCCTAATTGAGACTCATAAAATATTGTGATTTGTTCTCCTTGAAATTTATCTCCATTATTCACAAGAATTCCATAAGTTTTTAAATTTCTAGTAAAATCATGGCCATAATTTCTTAAACATTGCTGCGTAGGAACATTCCAGTATACTTCAAATGATGTCACAGACTGTAATAATGTAAAATACAGAAAATTGCATAGTGCTCGTTTTAAGGTATTCATTTTATTACTTCGAAAATTAAAAACTCTATCGAGATCGATTAACAGATGCAGTTTTTCTTCTTAATATTTCTCTGCGAACAAAAAAGGAATAAATTGTAGACTTTGAAATTATGGTTTATCAGTAGATATTTCATAATATTCTTTTCAATAATAAAAATGAGCAGCTGTAACTGACTGTCTTTTTGGCATATTTCACAGCTGTGAATGGTATTACTTTCTCATATATGCACTCTTACCGGCAGAGCTTTTTAACTGATTTCATCTTATTTAAATTTACCAAAATCAGAGAAAAATATTATATATTTTTTAAAATAAATATATTGTATTGTATAAAGTGTGTATTTTATTCTTCTTTCTAAAAATAGTGATTGATTATCTTGCAAACAACAATAATTTGAATAGTTTATCACCAGGGAAACTTAAAAAGGCAACCGAAATCTATTTTTCTATGTTACAATGAAATTTTTATGTGAATTCAGTTTTTTTGGGTCTACTAGAAACAAATTTAAATACATTGAAATCAAAATGTATTTAAATTTGTTCAAATTATTGCATATGTTAAAAATGCTTTATTTTATGTATGTGAAGTTTTTTAGTTCGATTTTAAGCAGTATGACATGTTAGAAGGGCCCAAAACATTTCTTTGCCTGGGGGGCCCTGCATGCTATTAAGACGATCCTGACTAGTACCATAGGTATACATTTCTGTGAATAGATACTATTGAATAGTACTGTGGTGATATTTATTAACATCTTGTTTTAACTGTAACTGTGCTTGATTTTCAATTGTTTTACTATTTATGTTTATAAGTACGTAGTCCTCAGCGGCTAGCCTAATTTTGCTAATTAAAGCTTTATTAAGTTATTATGTCTGCCTAAATTGATTATCACAACAATTTAATTAGCAAAATTATATTCTGATAAATGTGAGTACTGGTATTCATCGTCATGGAAAATTTTCTGAAACCGGAACGTTTCGACTTCGACCCCACGTGTGCTAACGCTGAAAATAAGTGGCTACATTGGAAGAAAACTTTCGAAAACTTTTTGTCAAAGGTGCCTAATCTTGCTGAAGATAATAAACTCCCACTCCTAATTAATTATGTATCAGCAAATGTTTTCCAGTCAATAAGTGAAGCCACCAGCTACTCGGCCGCTATCTCTGTTTTGGATGCACTCTACGTAGTAAAGAGGAATGAAATTTTCGCTCGTCATTGCTTGGCCTCAAGAAACCAACTATCTAATGAAACTGTTAACGAATTTCTTCAAGTTTTAAAGCAACTAAGTAAAAACTGTAACTTCACACAAGTCTCGGCTGAAACTTATAAAAATGAGTATATACGTGATGCTTTCATTAGAGGGTTGCGGAATACCCGCATTAGAGAGCGTCTGCTCGAAAATACAACAATCACTTTAGACAATGCAGTCAACCAAGCCCGTGCTCTTGAACTGGCTGAAGCTCATTCTGCTTCATATCTCACTAACTCACAACCTATGCCTTCTGCTGCACTAGACTGTACTGATGATGCTTTTGAAAAAGAAACCCTTGCAGCAATTCCTCGTGGATCATGTTTTTTCTGTGGTAATAGTGATAATCATATACGAAGTAACTGTCCGGCTAGAAACAGTGTTTGTCATTCGTGTGGAAAAAAAGGTCACTATCAACGTGTGTGTAGAGCGAAAACTCGGCATAAAATAAATACTACTGCCTCTGCTCATCTAATTGCTTCTGTGTCGCCAGCCCCTGGTTGTCTCCAAAAATCCCTCACATTTGTTACAGTAAATAGTGTAAAATTGGTTGCTCTAATAGACACTGGGAGTTCACTCAGTTTCTTAAACTATAAACATGTTGAGAAATGCAATCTTCAACTGAAGTCATACTCTGGAACTATCACTATGGCCAACTCTGCTGTTACCTCAAGTGTGGTTGGGCGTGCAACTGTAACTCTTGACCTTCTAGATCACAAGTATGAACAGATTGAAGTACTGGTTATGAAGAATTTATGTGCTGACTTTCTGATTGGTCATGACATTCTTAAACTCCATTCCTCCTTAGTCATCAATTTTGACGGCAGCAAGTCGCCCCTCCAAATTTGCTCATTAGCTGTTGCTAAAATTCAACCTGTATCATTGTTTTCTAACCTGACGCCTGATTGCAAACCAGTGCAAACTAAGTCAAGACGTCTCCCTCTAGAAGATCAAGGGTTTATTACCTCAGAGATACAAAAACTCATTGAAGAAGAGGTCATCGAGCCCAGCAACTCTCCTTGGAGAGCACAAGCTTTTGTGGTGAAAGGTGAAAACAAAAAATCTAGGATGGTCATCGATTACTCTCAAACAATCAACAGATTTACAATGTTAGATGCTTATCCTCTACCTAAAATTGAGGAACTCATATCTAAGGTTGCTACCTACCAAGTGTTTAGTAAAATAGACTTAAGAAATGCATATCATCAGCTCCCGATTTTGGATTCTGAAAAACACATGACTGCTTTTGAGGCAGACGGAAAGCTTTTTCAGTTTAAACGTGTCCCTTTTGGAGTTACCAATGGTGTGGCATGCTTTCAAAGAACAATTGATAAAATTGTACAAGAAGAAGGTCTTACAGATACCTACCCTTACTTAGATGATGTGACTGTTTGTGGTACAAACCAACAGGAACATGATGAAAATCTTGCAAGGTTCAAATCTGCTGCAATCAAGTTTAATCTTACACTAAATGAAGAAAAATGTAACTACTCTTCTCAATCTATATCCCTACTTGGTTACATAATTGAGAATAAAAATATTAAACCTGATCCAGAACGTCTGAAGCCACTCTTAAGTCTACCTGTCCCTAAAGATACTGCTTCATTGCAACGTGCTCTGGGAATGTTCGCCCATCATGGAAGGTGGATCCCTTCTTTCTCAAAAAAAATTCGTCCCCTCTTGGCTTGCAACTCTTTCCCTTTATCTCAGGAAGCTACCACAGCCTTCCAGTCAGTAAAAGATGATGTAGCCAATGCATCTCTTGCTGCAATAGAAAATGACATTCCATTTCGTGTAGAAACTGATGCTTCTGACTTTGCCATTGGGGCAACATTGAGCCAAGCTGGTCGCCCTATAGCCTTTTTTTCACGTACCCTAAATCAATCAGAGCAAAGACATTCATCTATTGAAAAAGAAGCATATGCCATAGTGGAATCTCTGAAGTATTGGCGGCATTACCTTATAGGGAGACACTTTGAGGTGTTTACCGACCAACGCTCAGTCTCTTTTATGTTTAATCAACAACACAATAGCAAAATAAAAAATGAGAAGATACTGCGATGGCGTCTTGAGCTTGCCTGCTTCAAATTTGATATTGTCTACCGCCCAGGAAGCAAGAATTCGACTGCTGATGCTTTGTCCAGAGTGTCCGCATCTATTGTCCCTCAGGTTTCTGACCTTAAAGACCTCCACTTTTCTCTTTGTCACCCAGGTGTTACCAGAATGTTCCACTGGATCCGTTCTAAAAATTTACCTTACTCAATCACTGATGTGAGAGCTACTGTCAACAATTGCCACATCTGCAGAGAACTGAAACCAAAATTTATCAAAAACTCTGGAGTCCTCATCAAAGCAACCTCAGCGTTTGAAAGACTCAACTTAGATTTTAAAGGCCCCTTACCATCCTCTTCTAAACATCGATTTCTTTTGACAATTGTTGATGAATACTCCAGATTCCCATTTGCTTTTCCGTGCTCCGATATCTCAACTTCAACTGTCATCTCCTGTTTGCAGACTCTCTTCTATCTTTTTGGAATGCCTGCATATATCCACTCAGACAGGGGCACTTCTTTCATGTCTCACGAACTAAAATCATACCTGACAGCTCAAGGAATTGCTACCAGCCGAACAACAGCCTATAATCCAGCGGGTAATGGCCAGGTCGAGAGATACAATGGCATAATTTGGAAAACTATTGAGCTGGCTCTTAAATCTGAAGGGCTTCCAACAAATCAATGGCAAGCCATGCTACAACCTGCTCTCCACTCGATTAGATCATTACTATGTACTGCCACTAATGAGACCCCTCATGAAAGAATGTTTGCACATCCGAGACGCTCCCACACTGGCTGCTCTCTACCTACATGGCTCACCATTCCTGGCCCAATTCTAATGAAAAACCACAATCGTAGTAATAAGTATCAGCCCATGGTTCAAGAAGTGGAGCTGTTGGAGGCTAATCCAGGATATGCTCATGTCAGGTTACCTGACGGCAGGGAAACTACTATTAATGTCCGTCACCTGGCTCCTAGAGGGTTACTTCCTGAAAAGGCCCTTGATGCAGATATGCTAGCAACCCCTCTACTAAAAACCCCACTTTCTGACAGCTCCCACGAGGCTACTGATGATCAACTTTTGGAATCCTCACTTGATGAGACCTGTTCTTCGGAAAACACTGACTCATTTTTGAGACCAAAACAGGAAGAGACTTTGCCTCCTACTACATCCAGAATACGAAGACCACCTGCTTATCTTTCAGACTTTGTTACTGACTGATTCAAGTCACTCCCTGAACTCTTAAAATAGCTCGGGGTGAATGTGGTGATATTTATTAACATCTTGTTTTAACTGTAACTGTGCTTGATTTTCAATTGTTTTACTATTTATGTTTATAAGTACGTAGTCCTCAGCGGCTAGCCTAATTTTGCTAATTAAAGCTTTATTAAGTTATTATGTCTGCCTAAATTGATTATCACAACAAGTACCTAAAAAAATAATTATATGTGTGGTGTTTATTTGGCGTGACCTTAAAATTGATCTTAAAATAGCCAGAAACTTAAATTTTGCTCTACTTTCAAGGTCATTATTTGCTTCGCCAAAACTAGAAGGCTGAAATTCGCTGGAAAAGAATGTCCCTAAAGTTTGGACCTCCTACCTAGTAGTTGAATACAGAAAGAGTTATAGAAAATCTGTAAATTGTTAAATTGTTTTAAAAAAATGTGATTTAGGCGTGATAAGAAGACTTGAAGTCCCTTATTTAGAAGCAAAGTGTAAGTTCAGTTCCCCTTTTAATGCACTAGTCTGCTGACAGTATTAATGTCTTAATAGTAGTAGAACATAAATAATAAGGAAAAATAATAATGAATGCAGTAGAACATAAAATAACGGTCAGTGTCTTCACTCACTTGTTTCACAAAAAGTATTACCACTTGTAAATCAATGTGTTTTTCTCAAAATATTTCAGAGGATCTGTGATTCTGACTCGCTAAAACTTGAAAAAAGAAAAATAGTTTAACACAAGAACATATCCTGAAATTTTTAACAAAATCAAAAATGTCAAAGTATCTAACTCTGATAAACTCTAAAAAAAATTTAAAAAAAAAATGGCTCTTAAAACAAATTGAAACCTTGGAAGAAAGAATTAAAATTTTTTATCGGACTTGGTACTAAATTTAGAGTTACAATAATCCAATGTATGTATAATTTTCGTATTTTTAATAAATATATATGAGGATTGGATAAAATTTGGATTAGATTCGATTTGAATTACATTTTTAGTAGTAATTCAGATATTAGCAAATGATACATTCTGATATAATCAGTAGTGTGCAGAAAAGAGAGACATCGACACTGATGAAGCATTAATTCTTTGAAAAATTTCAACATTTTAATATGATAAAAAATCATCCTCCATAATAAGTTCGATACTCTCAAATTCACTAAAAAATTAATTACATATAATTTTATTACAAATTAAAATTTTCTCTTGCATACAAATATTTTGATTTGAAATTTTTTTTTAATGACAGATATCTTATTTTCAAACAATTTTAATTAAGAATTTTTTGAATATTGAAATATATATATATATATATATATATAATCATATAATCCCTTCCAACAAATAAAATAAAATGAAATAAAATTTATGATGACCTTCTTCTAATTCATAGCATGTTTAATCTCAATGATATTATTAATGAAGATAACTGGAACTTTCTAGTGCATATTAACCTTAACAACAATTA